TTTGATATTTAAACTGTCATTTATTGTGATTTATAGTACATTTTACCTGATTTGTACATAATATATATTACTCCCTATGTCCCAAATTATTTGATATAGATGAAAAAAAAAATCCGTCTTCCTACTTTTTTTCCACATAGTATCTATCGTCCAATTGTTTTTTTTTTTTAATTAATAACTTACAATATAGTGTATTGTTTCATATTATCTATATAATATACACTTTTATAACAGCTCTTCATTCACATTAATAAAGTTAGAAATGGCAGAAGAAATGATGAACAACAAACAGATCATTCTAAAACATTATGTGGAAGGTTATCCTAAGGAATCTGATATGGAATTTAAGAATAGTATCATTAAATTGAATGTTCCAGAAGGTTCTAATGTTGTTGTTTTGAAGAATCTTTACTTGTCTTGTGACCCTTACATGCGTTCCCGCATGAAAAATCTTGAAGATAGCTATGTTGAATCCTTCACTCCTGGTTACGTAAGTGTTTCACCTATTTTATTGAGTCGCCCTTGTGTTACGTGTATGATAAGTAGTTTTCTTTTGTGTTATATATATATATAGCCTATCACAGGATGTGGAGTGGCTAAAGTTTTGAAGTCTGGTGATTCAAATTTTCAAGAAGGTGATTTAGTTTGGGGAATGATTGGATGGGAAGAATATAGTATTGTAACTCCTATTCAGAGTTTTCTATTTAAAATTCATGACAAGAATGTGCCTCTTTCCTATTATACAGGAATCCTTGGTGAGTTATTCCCTTTCTCAGTATAATAGACTGATGGTCTGCTTATATTTTTATAATCCTTTTTTATCTTAGCTTCTTGATGTTGTTTTCTATCAAATAGAGTACCACTTTACATGGTATTTGAACTACGTTACGTTCATCTCAATCCACGCTCCAGTTGGACCTAGATGTAAGCCGTGTTAGAGTCCACATTGGCTTGTTGGGGAATGGATTGATGATCTGCTTATGCAATTATTGTTTTGTAGGGATGCCTGGGATAACAGCTTATGTTGGTTTTTATGAGGTTTGTTCTCCGAAGAAGGGAGAAACTGTGTTTGTTTCAGCTGCTTCTGGAGCAGTTGGTCAACTTGTTGGACAATTTGCAAAGATGTTAGGTTGTTATGTTGTTGGTAGTGCTGGAACCAAACAAAAGGTTGATATGTTGAAGAGCAAGTTTGGTTTTGATGAAGCTTTTAACTACAAAGAGGAGCAGGATTTAGATGCAGCTTTGAAGAGGTTAGTAGTTTTATAACTTCCCATTAGAAAACACTAACTAATATGGCAAAAGGATGGGACTAAGGACGAATTTGAATCATTTTTATAACGTTAAGGAAATATATGGACCGATAGTACTATAACATTAAGTGGTCGTTTGGTAGCTGGCTAGAGTTATGGATGTATTACTAATACATGAATTAGTTATGAGACCCTCTTAATGAAAATCTTGTTTTTACTTCTTCATATTCTTTAATGAAAATCCTGGCTCCACCACTAATGTACTGATAGTATAACATAGAGCATTATTAAACCTTTTTCAATAGTAAAGAGGTGACTTTGAGGGGTGAGGAGTCATTTTCCTTAAAGAGATATAGCATGTGTATATAATAGTCATGTTCTTTCATGAACAGATATGTCTGTTGAGTTTAAGACCTACGATATAACTAACAAATATGACCTTTTTTTTGTATCGGTTTATTCCTATTATAGGTACTTTTCTGATGGAATTGACATTTACTTTGATAATGTTGGAGGGAAGATGTTTGATGCAGTTCTTGTGAATATGAAACTTCATGGTCGTATTGCTATGTGTGGGATGATTTCACAATACAACCTTAAGAAGACTGAAGGGGTGCACAACTTGCTCTGCCTCATCGCGAAACGAATCTGTATGAAAGGATTTATTGTTTCAGATCACTTTCATCTCTACCCCAAGTATTTAGAAATGATCATTCCACAAATAAAAGGCGGTAACATTGTGTATGTGGAAGACATAGCTGAAGGTCTCGAAAACGCTCCCAAAGCTCTAGTTGGTCTGTTCTATGGTCGCAATGTTGGAAAGCAAGTTGTTATGGTTTCACGTGAATGAATGGATTCGACTCCTTTCAATTTCCTCAAGTTTTACTTGTACTAAAAGAAGTGTTTTGTGATATTGTATCTAAAACATGAAAAACTGAGTTTTGTAAAGCAATTATGATGAGAACAATGCTATATTATTTCATGGAATTGAATGTTGGACATCTAAAGAAAATCATATTATTGAGAAGAATGTTTTGCATAGTAATAGAAATATTAAAGGGAAACTTACCATATCCCACTAGTTTAGTAGTAAATTCCTTAGATACACGCTAGTTTAAAATATTACGAATCTTACTAGAATTTGGGGAGGTGGTGGCATAGCTCTAGGTTTTAGTTGTGCACACCCTTCTAATAACTCATGTTGACGAAGGCAAACGTACAGGTAGGGGTGTTAAATGAGTGAATTGGACTGAATTTGACAAGGTTTTATGAGTTGAGTTGATAAATAACTTGTTTAAAAGTTACTTGAGCTGAAATGGACTAGACTAACTCAATCCATCAAATGTCTAACTAACTTTAATTGTTTTATTTGTATTTTTATAAATTTTTAATACCTAATAAAATTATTATGTTTCTTTTTTATGGTTATATAAAGGGGTGGATTCAGCTTGGGGCAAGGAGATTCATCTGAGATGAATCTCCTTCGACAAAAAATTATACTATTTATACATGATTTGAGATGATTACAACACTCTTATGGAGGTCCCTAATTCGTGCAAGAGCTGAAAATCCGCATTTGAAACGGTCTACCAAATGAGCCTTGTGCAATTTGAATTTAGTCTGATTTTAATACAAATATCGAATATCGAACTAAAAACCGAAAAAAAAGAAAGTATGTATATATACACTGCCCAAACCATTGAATTTGTTAATCTAAAGTACGTGTGTGGAATAATCACATTTAATTAGAGCAGAGCTAGGAGCGCAAGAGGTTCATTCGAATTTCTTTCATAGAAAAATTACTTGTTATGTATATACAGTATAAATGTTTTTAAAAATTGTGTGTTGATTTGTTTTTTTAATATATTTTGAATCACTTTAGCTAGTTAAAATTTTGACTCTGCCACTAAAAGCGAAATCAAAATTTTGAATTTTAAAACGATAAGTTTAAGAATTAATAATTGTATTTTACATTTAATATATATACATATTGATAAATTTGTTTGATAGAAATTGTATCTGAGCTTCTATCTTTGCCTCTCCGCCTATCATTTTTTAAAGTGATTAAAGAAGATTGATTTGACATTAAGATGGAAAAGTACATGAATTTGCTAGGAAAATACACATTAATTTCCTAATGACATCCACATCAATTTCCTAATGACATCCACATCAAGTGATGATAAAATCACATAAATATCCAAAGATGTATGTCCTACTTATTTGTCAAATCCATTGTATTCACCTCTATTATCTCATCTTTAAAAATGATTATATCGTGTCACTACCAACCAAATTAACAAAAGCTGGTACTTATCAATAACTAAGGCAAAGAAGATTACCTTTTAAGACCTTGTTTGTCCATACGTACTCGCTATAATAAAAGAGATATTTAGTTATAATAGTTATTTTTACTGCTTAAAAATATTTTGCAATAATTGTATTAATGTTATTATATTCAAAGTTGCTATAATATTTAAATAAAGTATTTAGTGAAAGCTAAGTGTTTGTTTATCAAACTAATCTATCATTTTATTAGAAATTTTCAAGAGTTTTTAATTGTGCTTTCATTCAAAATACAACTCAAAATACCCTATTTCTACGTAACTTCAACACTAATTATTATTATTTTCAAATGTCAATCGATTATTCAAACATGTACTAAATTTTACAACTAGTCAAATTCTTATAAACTATATAACCTTAGAATTAGAAAATTAGAAAATGAAGAAGTAAGGGTATTGTTTTAATAGGGAAAAAACTCGAAACTCATCTTAGTGTGAGTTAAGTCTCTCATTAAAAAAGATCTAATAAATTTAAAAACTTATCATTGTTCGCTAGTTTCACATTATAACTATTAATTATTATTTTTTTCTACATTAACTATTATCATCTATGTCAAACACACCACAAAGCTTATTAGGCTAACTAATAGTTGTTTCTTTTTTTCTACCTAAGTTATCATTATCTACTCAATTAAGTGTTATGTTCAATACATAGATGATGATAATTCAAATTAAAAAAAAAAAAAAAAACTGATAATTAAAATGTGAAACTCATGAAAAATAATAGTTCAAATATATTTTTGACCGTTATTGCTAAAATTAATGTTTTACAGAGGTGAATGTTCATCATGTGCAAGTTTTATGCCTTCAACTATTCAATTTGGAATATGCTACATTATGCTAGCTTCTTTTCAAGACTAAACTACAAATCTTATACGTAGTTATAAGCACCAAAATATTAATGATTCACATAATTTTGTATAAGAAAATGCATATTAGCCCAATCAGACTGCATAATCTATCATTCAACACCATATTGAGGCACCAATAAAATGATGAGTTGACTTATACGCGCATATTCAGCATCGAGGTATGTTTTAAATTTTTGATACAAAGGAAGTGAAAGTTCAGGTAGGTAAAGAAACAATAGATAGTTAAAGTATGAAACTCATAAAAAAAAGTGATAGTTTGAGTGTATTTTTTACCCGTAACACTTGAAAGAGAAATGTTAGGCCATTGGAGTTGACTTGATTTTCCAACTAACACAACAATAATTGGAAGAGCCAATGGTGCTTAGCACATAAAAAAAATATTAGAGTCTTCTAGAGGAGAAATGTGGACCTATTTTTTATAATAAGATTCGAATAATATTTGATCATATTCCAATAACATCCTCAATATTCAATAAAAATATACTTATATATATACCATACCATATAACTGTCAAGATTTGCTTGGGAAAAAAAAAACAAAAATTCTGTTTTCTAATGCACAATTAATATATGGCTGCTGAAGAAGTACTACTCCTCAAGCTCTTTGATACTTATTGGTTTGAACAAGAAATATTATTTACCAACACACATAAATTCAAGAAACTATTTCAAGAAAATCCTCATGAAATTCAAGAATCATCAAATCTCTTAGGTCGATCACAAAGTGATTACTCTTCAAAAATATCGTCAGATGCATGTCAGATACTTCAAAAGCAGAACATTTTTGAAGGATCAGATACAAGTCCGAGTTTTAGTAGTCAACTTGGGAACTCTCCAACTTCTGTTATTATCACACATAACAGAGTTGCACAAGAAGTAAAAATGAAGGCTAGAAAAGGAGTTAAGGGAATTATTCGAATTCGGAGAAGCTCATCGGAGCTTGAACTTGAGGAATTAAAGGGGTTTATGGATTTGGGATTTGAGTTTAGTGAAGAAGATAAGAATTCAAGTTTGGTTACAATTGTTCCTGGATTGGAGAAATGGGGAATTGTTGATGAAAAAATTGAAAATAAAAAGGATATTGTTCATAAAAGGCCTTATCTTTCTGAAGCATGGGAGATTCTTGAAAAAAGAAAAATGAGTAAAAAATTGTTGAAATGGAGATTTCCAGCTATGAATAATGATATGAATATGAAACATAATCTTAGATTTTGGGCTCAAACTGTTGCATCAACTTTCAAATGAAAAAAAAAAAAAACATAAACATTGGTTGTGCTTCTTTCTATGATTTCATCATTTGCTTCTTTTTGTTTTGTTTGTAGTTTGCTTCACATTTTGTGGCCTAATTTGGCTTGTTGCAAATGTAAATATAGCTTGATTCTTTCATCAAATTTTCTTGTCCAAAGATTCTATAGACTACTCAAGTCTTGTATAATTGTGGTGTATATGGTTATCTTTCGTGCATTTTGACTAATTTTACGATATATAGTTCATCTCTCATCAGCAATAGGTATCAGGTAATTCCGCCACCAAAGCTAGGATGAGTGGAAAGAAATCATCTAGTATTTTTTGTTTCTAGAATTTGAACATGATAAATCGTTGATTTTCAGCCTACTTCATTGATCACTAGGTGTTACTCATGTCTTGTATCTTGATGATTACTATGGAAAACCCATCAAAGTTCAAAGTTGAATGGCCATTGTTGTTGGGCTAAAACAGTTCAAAACTATTCTTAATCTGATGTAATATTATCTGTTTTGGATCGAGTCAGCACGGTTTCCCAAAAGAGCCTTCACATTGTTAGGAGTATCAAGCACCTAATAAGTAGCTTTTTCTATTTCTCACGTGGAACTTTGTTCATAAATACCTAAGAAAATTTCCCTCTTGAACTACGTTCTATATGGTCCATCATTGTTCAGAGGCTAATTTGAAGATTAACTGTGTGTCACCATATCAATTGAGTATTTATGACCATTAAAAAATCATTGGCTTCTTTTTTGTATATGTGTCTTTAAAGTTATGGGCGAAAATAGCAAGTGGCCCGTAGATGGCCAAAGGCACTAAGTTTGTCGGTCAGTCAAAGTGACTCAATGATACTCTTAACATAGTATTAATGATATTGTCTGCTTTGAACTACGTTCACACACACCATTTCTTCGGAAGACCTCACATCATTAAGTTATAAGTGCTTCTTTTTGTTTTCTATTTTCAATACGAGACTTTATTTACACACGCTCAACCACTGTTGCATCTTCCCTCATGGAACATCCAAAAAAGGTGGCCCTTCCTGCTTCTGAATTTGAAAGTTGAAATTGATGTATTATATTAGGACATAAATGAATTATTCATATCAACAATTTTTTAAAGAATGAAGGAAAAATCATCTTTTGTCCTTTAAAAATTTAAATTATATGTATTGATAATGGAGTATAACTTTTTGTTATATCATTAATATAATTTAACTGATTATATCCAAGTCATTACTCTTAAATTTATTACTCTTCAAATATTGAAACTTTTATAGATAGTCAACAAGCACTTTGCAAGATTTTGGTTTGAAGCTCATATTATTATAATTAAACCCACCCCCAAAAATCCAAAAATGTAAAAGTGATAAACGAGCAACTTACAAGGAATACCACTAAGAAAAAGATTTGGTGACTTCATAAGCAAATTAATCACCATTTGAGTATATAAAAAAGTGAATTATTTGCTAACTCAACAACCAGGGCACTAGAAAATTAATTTCTTATTAGTTGATAATCACAATATTCCAACTAGTCCAAGCACTCTCAGACCAATTCAAATTTGATAATTAACTATGCAAATCTCTAAGATAGAGAGGTAGGTAACCAATATATACTTTAACTAGAGAAAATATCTCATATGGTATGTTTTGTAGAGTCAATGTAGCAATATATACCATAAAACAAATGAAAAAAATACAACTAGAATATTTTTATTAGTTTGATTAGTTAGACTTGAGAAAAACTGATGTGTTCTGCTTCTTATAGAATTGCACAACAGGAAACTAACATAAAAAGGATATATTAAGATTGAATTGGTCTCATAAACCAAAATGAAAACAAGCATACTGTTCCAAATAACAGCAACTCTTGAAAACTATTCAACTCTAGGAGTAATTAGATGTTGGTCTACAAAATGCGTAAACATAAACTTGCTATCAGATAAACTGATCCAGCAGTCGGCTCTCGGCTTACTGGATGTTTGAGGACTTGTTAAGGATAACACCTTCATATTTGACCTGGAACCACTTCATTGAGTCCTCCTTTGTGACCCTGTGTTGGATCCCAACCCGAGACTTGCACCTACGACGTCTGGCAACACGGTATCCTGGGCGTTCCAGGACAACATAGAAATCCATACCATAGATACCAGTTGAAGGATCATACCTTTAACACAAAGGAATAGTATGTCAATGAATTATAAGAGCACAACATGACCAGCTGATATAATCTCCTAGCCTCATATAGTAAACATTTTTCAAGGTAAGAACTATTCCCTGCAAACTCATGGAAGAAGCAACTACACTTCTAGAAGATGATCAACCGGTAACTATGTGAACGCGCATGAGTAATTGTTTTGGCATAATAAAAGCTAGCAGCACCTCCTAAGCTAAATATGTAGGATTAAAAAGTAGTCCGAATAACGAATTAAAAGCAAGATCTCAATAACATGCTTACTTAATTCCAAGATCAATGTGCTCCTGAATACCAAATCCAAAGCATCCAGTTTCACTGAAGTTCCTCCTCAACAACTCGTACTCCTTGACCTTCAATCCACTCTCAAGGAGTTGCATAGCTTTTTCCCCTCTGACAGTGACGTAACAGGCAATCTTTTCATTACGCCTGATTCCAAAGGACCGGACAGTATACCTTGCTGTCAATAAGAATAAAGAAAGCACATGAAAACATGAAACAGCAACCAATGCAAAATTCGATAATGTTTAGTAAGTTAAAAGACAAACAACATCAAACCATACACATCATGGATAATTGCATTAAACATGAGTACAAAGTACCCAATATCAATGAGGAACAATAGGCATAACTTGTAGCACCAAGTTAAGCAAGTTCCAATTATTTCAAATTGTTACACAAACTTGACCAACTAAGAGCACTCATAAGTTCATACTAAATCCACATTACTTAGAAACTCTCTTTTTTTCCTAGTTGCTTAACGCCTTAAAGCTCATTATCTATATTCCTACAGAAACAAATTAAATCCAAACTTCAACAAATCACCAAAACCAAACAGCTCAAACACCAATAGTGAGACTCCATATATAAGAAAAGATTCATTCTTTGACACAAACAAAGCTCGAAGAACTGAAAAGCATGTTCGATAAAATGTGCATAAGAAACTGAAACCAGTCATAACATACGCAATCAAATAACAATAAAACAAACAGCATAATGCAATTCAAAAGCATACCTTTGGAGAAAACAGGACTTTGCCCACTGAGTTGCTCCAAGACCTAAAAATACAAAAACAAACACATTCAATTAACTATCTACACTTCAATCCTAAAACTAATCCAAATCTTATTCAGCTCTATTCAGATTCATTTCACTCTAATACTAATTCATCTTTTACAGCAAATTAGGGATTCACACCTTTGCGGCTCTAGTGAGACGATCTCCACTTTCACCAACGGAGATATTGAGTACGAGCTTCTGGACTTTGATATCCCTCATTGGATTGCTCAATTTCTTCTCTGAAGCCTAATCACAAAAAAAAAAAAAAAAAAAAACAGAGAATACGTTAGATTTCAAATACTCATATGTAAAAAAGCAACAACATTCATCGAAAATGGAAGGCATAGAGAGATACCATGGCGGCAGGAGTTTAGGGTTCACACACAGAGAGAGGAAGAAGAGAAGAGTGAGAGAAACCCTAGTTTGATCCAACTGTATATATATGTGTTGTGTGTGTATTATAATTGGAGCTGCGCTGTTTTGCTTATTTCTGAATCGTAGGGGTATTTTGGGAATGAGGGTTAAGTTTATGCCTAATTGGATTGCATTTCGTATTGTACTCTATGCATTATTACATGAACATTTTCCTCTTCTTTTTATGGGTACCAAAGGTAAAATACAAATGAGTATTTATTTATTTCCGAAAATTTATTTTACTTTATTTGAAAAAAAAACACTATTTGAGTATGCAAATTTCAAATTGCCTTTGGAATTTAGAAAACATTCAATATTTTTGTTTTCATTTTCATCATATTTTCTTTTTCACTTAAATTTTTTTATTTCTTTAGAAATGATCTCATTTAAATTATAGTTCGTATTTTTAAAGAAAAGTACATCATATTGTTTGCAAAACCTATAACCAAACACAACTTTATCGTCAAGTCTAACTTTAAAATTTTCAAGTAAAATGAAAAGAAGTTTGTAATAATGTGTAGTAGCTTATATATGGGATCTAATATGTGACTTACCTATTTTGTGATATTAATGGTGATTTTGCTAGTTTTTATAAATTGGAGGTACAAACGATATTTTTAAAAATGTACATTCAAATCTAAAGAACACTCAAGTGTGCGATCTTAATCTAGTCAAAACTCCAATATGAATGAAAAAAGTGAACTCCCAACTCCAATTTTAATTCTATCAAAAAAAATTCCCAACTCCAATTTTAATTCTATCCTATAAAAAAAAAACATACCAAATAACTACCGTTATTTTTCATGTACATGGACATTGCTAATGTAATTCAAGAAAAAAAATCTCGACAACTTCAGCTTGATAAAACCTTATAATAATATAATCACACCTCTAATTAATTAATTCTTCATTTTTCTTTTTAACTTTAATTACCTTGATTAGAGCTGTTCTTCACTCTACAGTGTCATTTTTAAAATTTATGTGGATATCGCAACACTGAATTTATGGTGCATACATTATCACTTCAGACCTTGCTAAATAAGGTGCGCCAAAGGGCGATGTGAGCATTAAAAAAATGCAATTACAATAAAAAGAGATTTGGAATATTATTAAATTACAAATAACAAAACAGCAGAGACGATCAAAACAACCATTACAAAAGGAAATTAAACCTAACACTGCACACAACACTTACAAAAGCAGAAGTGCATGTTACACAACATTATTTTCATTCAAAATATAAAAACCCAAACTGATTTAAGTTCTAGCACTTTCTTTCGTTTCTTGTGCTTTGCTCTGTATTGCTTGCCCAGCCTCCTTAGTCTTTTGTCCCACTTGCGCCGCTGCTTCTGCTGCTCGCTCCTGAATTCGCCTTTTCGTGTAATCCAACTGCTCCATCGTCGTCCTCCCTTGTTTGAAGTAATTCACAATCCACGATAGTGATGATAAACCCGTCAATCCAAATGCACCTACATATCAGAGACGGAATCAGAATTTTCACTTTCAGAATTATACTCTTGTCAAATTGAAACATGTATAAAAAAATGCATCTACACATAAATTGAAACAGAAATAGTATAAATTGACCTGAAGTTAAGAGGAATCAGAATTTTCACTTTCAGAATTATACTCTTGTCAAATTGAAACACGTCTAAAAAAAATGCATCTACACATAAATTGAAACAGAAAGAGTATAAATTGACCTGAAGTTAAGAAACCAGTGACGGCTAGCGCAACAGTAATAGCAGCGGGTACGAGGACGGGGCTAAAGAGAAGAAAAACGGGCGTAGCAACAACGAGCCCAATAATCGTCCCAAGAAGAGTAAGCCCAGCAAGTCCGAGAAGAACCCCACCGACAGGAACAAGCGTAACAACAGCTAGAATTTGGCTAGTTGAAGGACCTTTTGAAGGAAGAAGTGTGGCCATACCACCTTCATAACGACTTGAAGGATGAACTTGAACTTGATGTGGATATTGAGTACGATCAGCCATAGTTGATGATACAAATAAAGATAATGAATATGAGAATTTTTGTGTTGTATGAAGAAAGTATAGTAGTAAAAAGAGATGGATGATTTTATTTTTATTTTTGTAAGAGGGATTATTGATGAGGTGTTAGTTTTAAAGGAGTGAAGAAAAGGGTACGTGTTACAATGTGAGAGTAATAGGCTTGCATGAACAACATGTTGCACTATAGTGTAAGTATACATAAATAATTATTTTATATATATAATAAGATGAAAGAAAAGTGTTGCTAGCTGGCGACCCTTTAAGTTTGGTAGATTTTGAAAGCTAATTTGCTACCTCATTTGTCTTTTAGGTTTTCGGTTTGATGCGTGGTATTTGTATTGAAGTCTTGATTATTATGATATTGCGTTACTTTTCATGTCGATGTTTTTTTGGTTCGTATTTAGAAAAATGATATTTAGTAATTTTTTAATATTAATTTATCACGTGACATATTTAAAATTAAGATTAAAGAAAAAATTTAGTATGTTTGATATAATTTTGATTTAAGATTATAGAATTTCAAATAATTTATATTTTTTGAACTTTGTGTAAAGTTAAAATGGATTAAATAAATTAAAATAAGTGGAATATTTTATTTGTGTGATATCTTTTGAAATGGGAAAGGAATTATAAACGTGAGAATCAAATTCTCATCAATTAAGATGCTCCGGCTCTTCTATCATATTTGGTTGTTTGAATTCAAACAATTTAAAAAAAAAAAAATTTACATATTCGAAAATTACGTTAAAAACATATAAATCCTTCACAATAAATGTAAGAGAAAAATTGATAGTTTGATATTTTAATAAATAATTAATGGTAATTCAGATAAGATCGCATCTGATAGTTTTAGGTATGAAACATGAAAAATTGAAATATGTTAAATGTGTTTTTAATCACTAACTCTTATACATGTAACTAGATAAAGTTGTCCGTGCTATGCACGGGCCCAATAATATAAATGGTATGTTTTGGGGCTAATAACCGAGGTTTTGAAGCGATTGTTTGCGTGGATAAAGGAATAAGTTTTTTTATCACAAACCTGTACTTTCTTTGACGCTATTTAAGGCATAATAAGACTACCCACATAATACATTTTGTAAATATTTTATGTTGTCAATTATCATGATTTATAGTATTTTTACGATAGATTCACTTCAAGAATCAGTGGAATTTTTTGTATTTTTTTCAAAACATATTTTATGTTGTCAATTATCATGATTTATAGTATTTTTACGCAATTTTTAAATATAAAAAAACAAAAAAAAATAAGACAAATAAATTACAATGGATCCAATATATGTTATTTTTGCTGTCTCAATTTATGTGACACAAATGAAATTTGGAGAGTCATCCAAATTTTCATTTTTTAAAAAAAAAATGTTTTATGTATTTAATTATTGTGATTTATAATATTTTTATGTAACTTTGAAATAACGTACATTACTGGTCACTTTGTCCTAATTTATGTGATATGGATAAAATTACAAAATTAACTCTTTTAAAATGTTTTTCAAATATTTTAAGTTGTTAATTATTATTATTTATAATACTTTTTTGATAATTTTAAAATGATATGTGTTATTTTTTTTGTCCTGTGAGCCTGATAGAATTCTGAGAGTCAACTTATTTTATTATATAGCTTTTAAATATTTTAAATTGGTAATTATTGTAATTTTTAATGCTTTTTAAGTCATTTGTAAATGATATATGTTGTTTCCTTGATTGGGACTTTTCCATTTGTGACATATATATATATATATATATATAGATTATTTTAAAAGGGAGTTTATGTCCAAGTTCTACTATATAATAAATATAATATATAATATTCAAGAAAGTCCCAATCTTGAATATTATATATTATACTTCGGCATAAACTCCCTTTTAAAAGTCCCACAAGTATAATATATTATATTGAAGATTGGGAAAAGTCCCAATCTTGAATATTATACATTATACTTGGGCCTAAACTCCCTTTTATAATATAGTAGAATATATAATAATGTATATCGATCATCTACTCTTATATAACACACATATATAATATATACAGCCAAATGTATAGTATGTACTTGTATCACATTTAGTAAACAGACAATCGAAATGTATATCCATATATATGTAAATGTATATATATCCACATAAATTTTTCATTTTCCCCTTCAAAACACACTCATTATATGGGAAATTTGTTTTCGTTTGCATTATGGCATATATGTCTCACTAGATATTACAATGTTCACAACAATTTACTAAATATCTATAAATATTTGATCGCAAGTTCAATTATTATTATATATAATCTCTTAATTATTATAAAAATTCATAAACTTTAACGTCTAGCAGCCCCACCATCTAACAAAACTCACATCTATTTTATCAACAAAACAAGTGTGTAGCTAAAGTATACTATTCTATCTCATAACATGTGGAGGAAAATAGAACAACTTTCTTCTTATATCCTTACTTGTTACATTATCTTCTTCTACACCAAGTAACTTCACTCTCAAATTGAAACAAACTAGTTATCATCTAAAATGGAAAAAGAACCCGCATGGCATGAACTTTTAGGAAGCAAAGATTGGGATGGCCTTCTTCAACCTCTAAATCTCCCTCTCCGGCGTCTAATTCTCCGGTGCGGTGACTTTTGTCAAGCTACTTACGATGCTTTCAACAATGACCAAAATTCCAAGTATTGTGGCACGAGTCGTTATGGTAAAAGTTCATTTTTCGACAAAGTCATGTTAGAATCCTCTACCGATTATAAAGTCTATTGCTTCCTCTATGCTACTGCTAAAATAGGCGCACTTGAAGCCATTTTCCTCCACTCTCTGTCTCGCGAATCGTGGGACAGAGAGTCTAATTGGATTGGCTATATAGCCGTTACGACTGATGAAGTCAGTCGTAAACTAGGACGTAGGGAAGTGTACGTTGTGTTTCGTGGCACCGCTAGGAGTTATGAATGGATCAATGTTTTAGGTGCTCGTCCTGATTCAGCTGACCCTCTGCTTCATCCTAAGTCTCTCCAAAAAGGCGTTAACAACAAGAACGATGAGGATGAGGATGAGGACGAGGACGAGGTCAAAGTAATGGACGGGTGGCTTAAGATTTACGTCTCAAGTAACCCGAAATCGCCCTTCACAAGACTAAGTGCAAGAGAACAACTTCAAGCAAAGATTCAAAAGTTAAGAAATGAGTATAAAGATGAGAATTTGAGTATAACTTTTACAGGGCATAGTCTAGGTGCTAGCCTAGCTGTTTTAGCATCATTTGATGTGGTTGAAAATGGTGTCCCAGTTGATATACCAGTATCTGCAATTGTATTTGGTAGTCCACAAGTTGGGAACAAGGCATTCAATGAAAGAATCAAGAAATTCCCAAACTTGAATATCTTACATGTTAAGAACAAGATTGATCTCATTCCCCTTTACCCAAGTGCTCTATTTGGGTATGTGAATTCAGGTATTGAAGGAAATATCATTACAATTTTGAGTTGATTTCTCATATCCTCACTCAACTAAACAGTTATTATATCAGAAAGTCACTTTCTTTGTTGAAAAAATCTGAATCAAGAAGAAAGACGACTTTCTGAGATAATAATAGTTGAGTGACCATATGAGAAATCAATGCTTACAATTCTCTACTACTTTTTCTGCTATAATAGAAGAGGTAAAAGTACATATGTTTATACTTGGTGCAGAATCTACTTAATTAGAACTGAAAAACATATTCTATATAAATTTGACTATAAATCTTGTGTAGACATGAATAAAATAAATAAGATTTCCTACAACTTTGAATGATTCTTCAACAGGTATAGATCTAGTGATCGATAGCAGAAAGTCTCCGAGTTTAAAGGACTCAAAAGTCGCGGGCGATTGGCACAACTTGCAGGGGATGTTACATGTTGTGGCGGGATGGAACGGGGAAGATAAGAAGTTTGAGTTGAAAGTGAAGAGGAGTGTAGCTTTGGTGAACAAGTCATCTTCATTGTTGAAAGATGAGTACTTGATTCCAGGGTCGTGGTGGATTGAGAAGAATAAAGGAATGGTTATTGATAAAAATGGAGAGTGGATTTTGGCACCACCTTCAGAAGAAGACCTTCCAGTCCCTGAGTATTGAATTTTTGGGTATGGGGAATTTGTTCACTTGGCAATTATTATTGTTTGTTGATATTGCTTTGGACTTGTCAAATGTGAATGTATACAATGTGTCTAGTATTTGTACTAGTGTTGGAAGCACTACAAGATTGATTCTCGTAATAATAAAATAATAAAGTTGTGTTTGTGTGATCTATTGGACACGGATGAGGGTGAAACTAACTAGGATATGAACACAATACAAAACAATGCAAGTTTTTTGTCATTGGAAAAGAAAGAGAGTACAACCACTTAAATATTGAAACAACCATAGATGCTCCTTGATCTTTGATCAAATAATTAAAAGAAAGCAGAAGGCATCGGCAGACACCTAATGTTGGCACGATTTTTCACTTAGACATCTCAAGTAAGCCTAGTACATACATTTTAAACACTCGTAGGAGACCTTCACTGTGTCATTTTGACACCTTTCGCTGACTCAGCATAGTATGTGTGCTATATGAATGGAACTCCAAAATGGATGGCTACAAGTTAGGTTGTACGTACCGTTTTCGATGAGATATGAAGATTAGACGTACCTGAAGGACCTTTGGCAAATCAATTGCAGTCAATTGTAGATGTTGATACCAGAGGCCTATGTAGACTCAAATTCATTTATTTTTTCCTGTGTTCCATCGTTTATCTTTTGTATGCAGACTGCTGAATGAAAGACAGTTGGAGAGTTCAGGGAAGCGTGAAGCGGAAAAAAGCGATAACGCCCCGCATCACGCTTTAAGCGATGAAGCACTCACCTACTCATTCTAGTCTGTGAAGCGTAGAAGGCTCGCATCGCTTTAAGCGATGAAGCGCTCGCTTTCCTGAACACTACTTGGAGGAAGT